TCGGAAGGCTGAGGGGGAAGGATCGCCAGAGCCCAGCAGGTCGAGGCTGCGGTGGCCGGGAGCGGCCACTGCACTCCAGTCTGGGCGACCGAGTGAGACTCCAACTCCAATAAATAAATAAAATAAAATAAATAAAATTTAAAAAGCCAAAAAATTAGCTGGGCACACCTATAGTCCTAGCTACTCAGGAGAATGAGATGGGAGGATCGCCTGAGTCCAGGAAATCAAGGCTGCAATAAGTTGTGATGGTGCCACTGCCCACTGCACTACAGCCTGGGCAACAAAGTGAGACCCCCAACTCAAAAAAAAGAAGCCAGGGACGCTTCCTCCACTTCCATCACCATCATCAAATCCTTCCACTTTTCTAGAGAATGTAATGAGTTTTCCATAAATAATTACATTAAAAGCAGTGGGTAAAAAAAGAATCCTAGATTCCCCTAAATTCACATGTAAAGAACTGTAGAGAAAATTACCTTAAGTCGAGTCTGACGGGTAACTCCTTTCACTTTTTCCTTCTGCAAGGTCTCTATCCTGGGTCTATTAAAGACTCTGTCGACCAGTTCCGGGGCTGTTTGCAGGTGAGTTGCAATATCAAACTGTTCAACTAAAATTCAAAGACAGTCCTTAAGGCACTGTTTCTAACACCAAATAACACAGACTGATATGGTAGACTATCCCAGAAACCTTCAAACACTTCATACCTTCCTTTTTGGTGTCAAAAAAGAACACATGTTTATTCTGATGCTTCCCCTGGAAATCCAGCAGATGGAGCTCTGATTTTAGTCTTTCGATTTTCTAGAACACAGAATATGGTTTCACTTTATATACCAGATTCTTCTGGGGTATCACAAATAAATTTGTGAAAGTTTAAACCATTTCACATCATTATTGCTAGTCTGCAAAAATTCTGCTTCACTTTTTTAAAGGAAGCGACCCCAACTACATGTCAGGTACTGGGCTATGCACTCCATAAAACTAACTTAATCCTTGCAACAATTCTATGAAACTGAAATGAGTGAATAGCCTCATTTGTCCATTGAAGATTAATTTGTCCATAGTCATAGGGCTAGTAAATGGCAGTACCAGAATTCAAACTTATGCCTGTCCCATTCCCAAACTTTAACTCTTTCAACTCCACCATGCTGATTATACTTCGAAATAATTATCACAATCAAACAAGATTGTAAATCCCAGAAAAATCAACTGATAACATGAGATTGATGGATTTAAGTTTCCTTTTTTAACCATTAAAAACACATCAGAACAAACAAGGCTCGGTGGTTCAGCCTGTAATCCCAGCACTTTGGGAGGCTGAGGCGAGTGGACTGCCTGCCCATGGGTTTGAGACCAGTCTGGACAACTTGGTGAGACCTCGTTTCTACAATAAATAAAAAATTAGCCAGGCGTGGTAGTGTGCGCCTGCAGTTCCGGCTACTTGGAAGGCTGAGGCAGAAGGATCACCAGAGCCCAGCAGGTCGACACTGGGGTGGCTGTGAGTATGCCACTGCCCTCCAGCCTGGGTACTCCAACTCAAAAAAAAAAACCACATCAGAACAAAGAGTTAACTGTTACCTTAACTTCTGCAATCCTTTTCATTTCTATATATTTGACATCCTGAGTTCTCATCAGCTTTAGTTGTTCTGGAGTTACTTCTTCATTAGTCTCCTTAATAACATGAACTCCATCCTAAAATTCAAATTTAAAAGATACATTCCCTATTAGATGAAAATCACTGGTAAGTTATTGACATGGTTCATAGTTAGAACAAAAATAACCAAATGCTGTATGCTGACATCAACTACACTAGACTCTGAAGGTGCAAGTTCAATGCAGCACTTCCAGTCATTCACTCTTAAGAACAGCTCCAGGCGTAAGACAACTGAGATTCAAGAGGCAGAAACGCATACTCCTTAGGAAGGAGCAAGTTTGCCTTGGATGTTGACCAAGAGCACCTGGAGTAACAGGACAAGATCTAAATTAAGATCAAGGATCCTTCTTCTCCATCTCCTCCCCCATCCTTATTTTCCAACAGCTGGAGCTCAAAACACCAACTGATCCATCAGGTAGGTACCCACCTGGAGTTTAACCCGAGTCATTTTATAGTAGAATTCATCTGGATTTTTTTCAAGAGCCTTCTTCCGGAGAGCTCTGAGGTATTCCTGTTTTTTACGGTAGTCACTAAAAAGCAGGTTAAATGAAGTTTGGAGCAAAAACAAAACAAAACAAAACAAAGAACAAACAAAACTCACAATGGGCAAACTCTACAAGTATCTAACATTTCACACAAAGTGGAACTCAAAAAAGCTAAAGCAGTGACTGGATTTGACCCACACTCCACTGTCACTGAGTTGAACTCATGTCTCCATAGGGTCCACAATCCAGCAATCCTCTCCTATCTCAATGGAACTCGATATTAACTGTCCCCGTCCTATACTCATTTTAGTATCACTTATAGCATTACAGGAACACACCAACAGAGCACAACTAAAACTCCTTAGGGTTCTGGGCAAACTTGGGCACCAAATGACCAAATATGATTCACAAACTGCACAGTCCAGCATAGCATAAAGACTAGAATTGTGGACTCTGGAGCCAGACAGTATGGGTTCAATGTGGAGTCCACCACACCTGGCTCAGTAACCTTGGATAAATTAGTTAAACATTTTGTATCCCAATTCATCTGTAAAATGGGTATAGTAACAGTAACTTATCCCAGAGAGTTGGTGGAAGAAATAAGAGTGCAAAAATTATGAAGCTCCTAGAACTCTGCCTGGCCAACAACAGCACTTCATTATTACTATCCTTAAAAACTCTGGGATTAGCCGGGCTCGGTGGCTCAGCCTGTAATCCAGCGCCTTTGGGAGGCTGAGGTGAGTGAATTGCCTGAGCCCACGGGTTCGAGACCCACCTAGGCAGCGAGACCTCATCTCTACAATAAATCAAAAAATCAGCCGGGCGTGGTAGCGCATGCCTGTAATTCCGGCCACTTGGAAGGCTGAGGCAGAAGGATCGCCGGAGCCCAGCAGGTTGAGGCTGCGGTGGCCAGGAGCGGCCACTGCACTCCAGTCTGGGTGACAGAGTGAGACTCCAACTCAAAAAAAAAAACTCTGGGACTGGCCAGGTGCAGTGTAAGGCAGAGGCAAGAGGATTGCCTGAGCCCATGGGTTTGAGACCAGCCTGGGCAACTCGGCAACACCTCATCTTTACAATAATCCAAAAAAGGAGCCAGGTGTGGTGGCGTATGCCTGTACTTCCAGCTACCTGGAAGGCTGAGTTGGAAGAATCGCCTGAGCTCAGCAGGTCAAGGCTACAGTAGCCATTGAGTGTGCCACTACACTCCAATCTGGGTGACAGAGTGAGACTCCAACTCAAAAAAAAAAACTCTGGGACTGGCCAGGTGCAGTGTAAGGCAGAGGCAAGAGGATTGCCTGAGCCCATGGGTTTGAGACCAGCCTGGGCAACTCGGCAACACCTCATCTTTACAATAATCCAAAAAAGGAGCCAGGTGTGGTGGCGTATGCCTGTACTTCCAGCTACCTGGAAGGCTGAGTTGGAAGAATCGCCTGAGCTCAGCAGGTCAAGGCTACAGTAGCCATTGAGTGTGCCACTACACTCCAATCTGGGTGACAGAGTGAGACTCCAACTCAAAAAAAAAAACTCTGGGACTGGCCAGGTGCAGTGTAAGGCAGAGGCAAGAGGATTGCCTGAGCCCATGGGTTTGAGACCAGCCTGGGCAACTCGGCAACACCTCATCTTTACAATAATCCAAAAAAGGAGCCAGGTGTGGTGGCGTATGCCTGTACTTCCAGCTACCTGGAAGGCTGAGTTGGAAGAATCGCCTGAGCTCAGCAGGTCAAGGCTACAGTAGCCATTGAGTGTGCCACTACACTCCAATCTGGGTGACAGAGTGAGACTCCAACTCAAAAAAAAAAACTCTGGGACTGGCCAGGTGCAGTGTAAGGCAGAGGCAAGAGGATTGCCTGAGCCCATGGGTTTGAGACCAGCCTGGGCAACTCGGCAACACCTCATCTTTACAATAATCCAAAAAAGGAGCCAGGTGTGGTGGCGTATGCCTGTACTTCCAGCTACCTGGAAGGCTGAGTTGGAAGAATCGCCTGAGCTCAGCAGGTCAAGGCTACAGTAGCCATTGAGTGTGCCACTACACTCCAATCTGGGTGACAGAGTGAGACTCCAACTCAAAAAAAAAAACTCTGGGACTGGCCAGGTGCAGTGTAAGGCAGAGGCAAGAGGATTGCCTGAGCCCATGGGTTTGAGACCAGCCTGGGCAACTCGGCAACACCTCATCTTTACAATAATCCAAAAAAGGAGCCAGGTGTGGTGGCGTATGCCTGTACTTCCAGCTACCTGGAAGGCTGAGTTGGAAGAATCGCCTGAGCTCAGCAGGTCAAGGCTACAGTAGCCATTGAGTGTGCCACTACACTCCAATCTGGGTGACAGAGTGAGACTCCAACTCAAATAAATAAAAAATAAAAATAAAAACTCTGGCCGGGCTCGGTGGTTCAGCCTGCAATCCCAGCGCTTTGAGAGGCCGAGGTGAGTGGATTGCCTGAGCCTGAGGGTTCAAGACCCGCCTGGGCAACTTGGCAAGACCTCATCTCTACAATAAATCAAAAAATTAGCTGGGTGTGGTATTGCGCACCTATAGTTCCAGCTACTTGGAAGGCTGAGGCGGAAGGATCACCGGAGCCCAGCAGGTCGAGGTTGCGGTAGCTGGGAGCGGCCACTGCACGCCAGTCTGGGCAACAGAATGAGACTCCAACTCAAAAAAAAATTAAAATTAAAATAAAAAAATAAAAACTCTGGGACCTACAGAAATCCACTTCATCCATCACCACTGCCTGCACCAGGAACATAAGAAGGACCTCAGCTGACATATACGGCTAAAAAATAAAGTATTATGCAACTAAACTGTTGAAGGAAAAGAAGAATGGGATAATTGTTTTATAAAATGTTTCAGAGTTCATAATCACCCACACTCAGTCTCATGAATCCATCTTTCACATCTCTTCATTCCACACCACACACATGGTGATGGAATGGAATTTTAGATTATATCTTGCACTTCGAGAAAATGGAGAGAGCAAAGATTCAGCTCTTGGTTCAAATACCAAGGCAAAGGCAAATCAAAGCCACTATGAGAAAATAATCTGGAACAACATAATAAAAAAATTAACAATGCAATACAGTTAAATAAATAATGATCTGCCTAAACAAAGAGAGACGTTTGGGGTCACAGAAAAGTATCTGACAGGGTGCCAGAGCTTTGGTCATTTTATCAATGGCAGGAAATTATCCCCTGTTGGACACTCAGGCAATTCAGCTGTAGTGCAGGGAGGTTGTAAGCCTTCTTGGCAGTGCCTCTACCAGAAAGACTGAACTCACTCTGCACGAAGTTTGTGATCTTTCTTTTTCTCCAGCAGGCCCAGATGCTTCCGAAAGCCAGGCTAAAAGACAAAGAAAAAAAAACAGTGCTTAGTTTCCTCAGCAAATGCATACCCAAATCAACATGACACCTAATAGGAACAGGAGTTTCTGGAGTGTTCAGTAAATCCGTGTCCTTGGAGCCAACCCACTATCCTGTTCCCTCCTCTCCCTATAACTGGGCTCTGCCCAAGGATCAGAGCAACCATGCAGGCGCCAGACAGGTCACAAGCACTGCTATAGTAGGTTTCTTGGCCTATTAAGGACAGAGAAAGACAACAATGACTCGGCACTAAGCAAGCAGTTGCCAGTTGTACTAAAATTACTACCAACTTAATCCAAGGGCTTATAAAATACTACGAAGGGAAAACATAGTAACAGGGAGGCAACTGTGGTAAGGGAGCTAAATTTAGTCTGGAGTCTTGGGTTCAAATCCAAGCTTTACCTCTTAACAATATGTGACCTTAGGCAAGTCATTTAACTTCTCCGAGCTGCTATTTCCTAGCTGTAAAATAACAGCAATAGTTCCCACTTCCCAGGGTTCTCATGTGGATTCTACAAGCCTCTGTAACTGCTCAGCTAAGTTTACTGCTACTATAACCTATGGCATGAAAGAAAACCACATATGACAGAATGTACTTTCTCTGACAGAGACTTGACAGCAACTATGGTACAAAGGTTAAATACCAGTATGATCTTTCTTCAAGTTACCATTTGCTAAGTACTTAGTATATGTCAGGAACTGTGCTGGATTCTTTTACCTATATCATCATAATAAAGAAAGCACTTACTATGTTAGAAAGCATTGTTATACAATCTCATTTAATCCCCACAACGATCATGGAAAGAAGATAAAACAGACTCTATCATTATCTCAATGTTCTAGCAGGGGAAGGGGGCTTAGAGAATGATATGCCCAAAAACATATAACTAGTGTCAGATCTAAAACTAGAACCCATTGTATCTGAGGCCATAGTCTGCACTCTTCCACTAAACTGGGTCCTCTTCCACTCTGAATAATCTTGACTTTTGAGGAAATACGTAAACACTTCTCCACGACTTAAACTTGTATAATAATTTGGGTGGGATTTTTTTTAAGACACTGGGTCAGCTGGGCACAGTGGCTCATGTCTGTAATCCCAGCACTTTGAAAGGCTGAGGCAAGAGGATTGCCTGAGTCCAAGGGTTGGAGGCCAGCAACTTGGCTCATCTCTTCAATAAACCAAAAAATTAGCCGGGCATGATGGCGCACACCTGTAGTTCCAGCTACTTGGAAGACTGAGGCAGAAGAATGGTCTGAGCCCAGCAGGTTGAGGCTGTAGTGGCCATGAGAGTGCCACTGCACTCCAACCTGAGTGAGACTCCAACTAAAAAAGACAGGGTCTTTCTCTGTTGCCCAGACTGTAGTGCAGTGGCACATTCATAGTTCACTGCAGTCTCAAACCCCTAGGTAATCATCATTCCTCAACCTCCCAAGTAGTTGGAATTAGAAGCACATGCCACTATCTCAAACTCCTGGTCTCAAGTGATCCTCTTGCCTTGGCCTCTCCAAAGCACTGGGATTACAGGCAGGAGCCACTGTACCCAGTCTAAGTGGGATTTTTAACAGTCATCTTTCTCATCTTTCAAGTGATGCGATAAGTAACTCCATATTTAAAATAACACCCCAGCCGGACTCGGTGGCTCAGCCTGTAATCCCACGCCTTTGGGAGGCTGAGGTGAGTGGATTGCCTGAGCCCGCGGGTTCGAGACA